AAGCACAGTAGTACACAGCAGAGTCAGTCAGTGCAGCAGAGGAGATCTCCAGATTTACTCGTTTCTCCGTTTTGTTAATGTAAGCTGAGAAATCAGAATCTGTTGGATGAATCGATCCTCCCTCTGTGATGTAGAGCAGGAACTCTGGTCTGGATCTCCGGTTTGCTGTACCACTGATGTTGTAATAAACATCATATCTACAGGTCAGGTTGATGTTTCCTCCCTCTTCAACCTTTCTTCAGTTGTTTCTGGGTTTATGCTGTTCATGGAGCCCAGGGCTGCAAAATAAGTATTATACATGTCTGTTAGTCTGCAAGAGATTCAGACATCAAGAGACTGAAAATCAGTCCTCTACTTCATCAGTCATCTTTGATCATTTTGAGATTCATGAAGAAAACAAAAGTCTTTTCTATCAGTGGAATTTGTAGCTCCACAGATAAACATCTACTTTGAAATAGTTGTTCAGATATCTGGTCTAAACAGCAGGTGAAATTAGAGTTTGATGTGTGTTGTAACACTCACCTATAAAGTGAGAGCAAAGTAAAAAGAGGTAAACAGCATGTCTTTGGAGTTGTTGAAGACAAACAGACAGCAGATGAGTAATGTTCTTCTAAACTAAACAGCCTCTGTGCTGCACAGATGTTCTCCTCTACTTTGACATGATTTTAATTTGACTTCCTCAAACTTTTCTGCTCTGGAGATACAGACAATCTCATTGGTTTGCCTCAGTGGGCGTGACCAGAAGGAACACCTTATTTAGAACTTGAACTTGTTTTTAACTGGAGGCCATTGTGAGTTCTCCCACATTTACAGAGGTGAGTGCTGTAAAGGAAAACTAGTATGAGTTGGTGCCGAGTTGTTTGGTCTGATGCTCCCTCTAGTGGATGTTGTGGAGTATTGTGTTGTCTTCTCTCCAGAGGTTTTTGTACAGAGTTGTGGTTTTCCTGTCACTGTGGGCCTCAGAGCACAGTAGTACACAGCAGAGTCAGTCAGCTGAAGCTTCTGGATCTTCAGGGAACTGATGTCCCGTTGATTGTAGCTTTAAATCTGTCTCTGAGATCCCAGGAGCATTTTCTGAAAAGCCTGCATGCCTCTCCACAGTACTTTGGGATCACCCATTTCTTGTCTGTACCAGAACAAAGAGGGGGTCGTTGAAGTCTCAAACTGACAATCAATTGTGACTGTGTCTCCTTCAGAAGCAAAGACATCTTGTGTTGGCTGGATCACTCTGTCTTCTCCTTTACACTCTGAGAAGAGAACAGAAAGAGGAAGAGATTAATTTTTGACAAAAATACTCACTAGGTTAAAAAAGTTACGTAGCTAGAGAATCAGACACACAAACATGTACAGAGTAATCAGAATATGTTCTTTGACTCTCACCAAATAAAAGAGCAGCCAGAATAATCCACAGCCAAAGTCCCATCTCTACAACAAGGTTTAAACCAACAGGAGGAACTCTCTGATGTTCAACATTCAGTCTGTGATTTGTTTTCTTCTCAACAACAGTTTTTATTTCAAGAAGGGTTGAACTCATTGCTGCAGTAGTAATGCCGCCCTCTGGTGGAGATTGAAATTGCAGTTTTAACATTTAGGAAATGCTCCCAGCAGCAGGTTGTCATCATGTCAGCTTGTGTTTCTGTACAGAGTTGTAGTGTTTTCTGTTTTCTGGCATCCTGGTCCAAAGAGACGTTGTTGTCGGGAACATCCTGATGCAACCGCATTTTAGTGACGCACATCAAGCTGCACTCCCGATACTCCCTCTGACTCTGACAGTAAAGTACTAGAAAGTAAAAAAACAAACAGGAGCAACTGCAACAGGCAGCTTGTGCACTGTCATCAGCAGCTGTAACCACAGAGACTCTGAGCAAACAGGAATCATCAGAATCCATCTGACATGAAGCTGTGGTTTGAATCCCACTTCCCTCCTCTTTGAAGAGTAGTCAGATATCTGTGTTCAGGTTTTTGTACAGCCTCTTCTACACTTTGTATCACTGTGTTTCTAAAGCACAGTAGTAGAGAGCTGTGTCTTCAGGGGTTAGCTTTCTAATGGTCAGTTCAGTTGAGCTGCTTGATGTTTGAGATTCATATCGTTTATCTGGAATATATTTGTATTTGCTATCACTCCATGATCTGGCTCCTTTCCAGAGTATAAACTGAGGTGCCTGGAGGTCAGAATGATGTCTGTACCAGTAGAGAACAACATCTTCTGATGTTGTCTCATAGTTACATCTGAGTGTGACAGATTCTCCTTCTGTTCCTCTGACTTCATCGACTGCAGGATAGATTTTGTCTCCAGCTGTTAGTCCTGTAAAACGTAGAGAAAATGAAGCCATTAGATTAAATATTGTTCAAGAGACTGAGAAGATGAGACAGTGGAAAATATCAGTTGTTCGGTCTTACTGCAAGAACAAAATAATTCAAATGTTCATAGATTTCTGCTCAGAACTTAAAAACACTGAAGACATGTTGTGCTTTATATCTTACCAAAGAAAAGAGCAGCCAGAATAATCCAAAGCCAAATTTCCATTTCTAAAACCAGGTTTAAACCAACAGGAGGAACTCTCTGATGTTCAATGTTCACTGTGTTGAAGTGTTCTCTTTACAGCAGCAGCTGGTATTAATATAATGTTTGAACACAGTAGTTCATTACCTGGTCAATAATGTCTCCCCCTGGAGGAATTGTAAAAATGTAGTGCAGAAATTCTAGAAGTGACATCCTGGAACGCGTCTCTGAACTGCATACTGGAACACATTTAAAATGTTCTGAACCTGATGCACATGTTAATGAATTTATATATAATCCATTCTTACTATTATTACACAAATGAAAATAGATCAAATCATTTTTAAAATATCAAAGTCAACACATAAAGAAGAAATGAGGACACAGGGTTGAACCATGTGGTACACAGTAATCAATCATGTGTTTCTAGATGTTTACAGGGATAATTTATTCAGAAATTTGATACCAAACTATCGATGAATTGCCCTAAAGAATTAATATGAAAAAGCAACATATCAGACGTACTGTTCAGATATTGTATATTTATGTCAAGTATTGTTTGGATATTCTGAAATACTTTAATCCTGGGGCCTGTTTCAGTAAGCAGGTTTTTAACAAACACTGAGTCAGTTAACCATGACATGAGGGAAACTGGGTTTTCCTCATTCTTTCATTCAGTCCGTATCACGTGAATATTAGTGAAGATTCACCGCTTTGTCTGAATAAAAATCCAGGTTGTTTTAATGTTATATGTTAGGAAGGCTATAGCGTATAAAAAGAACATTTGATAATGCACTTTCAAATTAATTAGGCTAAGTTTACTTTGTCAAATATGATAAAATAAGGTTGGCTCCCACCATGAGCCTAGTTTGTTCTTATAGCCTATTTCATTTAGAGCTGTTTTAAAGTCGCTTTTCTCCTACTTAATTGCATCTTCATGTCAATAAATGTTAGTTTAAACACCATTACACTGGTTTTTATCTGCAAAACTATTATTCTGATTAAATATTAGATGAATAGACTTCATTACATGCTGACGCGAGCAGCAGTTTTCTCCTTCACCACTTCTTTCTCTCCTGTGCTGCTGCAGCAGTGTTACTTTTTCTTTCTTTCTTAAAACTGGTTTATATTTGTAGTGTGTCTGCATGAAGATGTAGAAAGGTTATATTTCCAGATGGTTAAAGTAAGAGGATCTCTTTTTTGTCACCTGTTGCCATGGCTCCATTAATGTTGTCTTTTTATAGTAGTGGTGCACGCGCTGAACACAGAGTGAACCTACTCAGAGTTGATTTAACTCAAATCAGCTGATCTGGAACCCAAAACTCAGAGTTTCCCACCTGAGGGTAAATCAACTCAGAGCTCAGAGTTAGAGTTTGTTGAACCTTCTTTCTGAAACGGGCCCTTGGTCTCAGTGGGCGTGGCCAGAGAAACACCTTATTTAAAACTTGAACTTGTTTTTAACTGGAGGCCATTGTGAGTTCTCCCACATTTACAGAGGTGAGGTGCTGTAAAGGAAGAACTAGTGAGTTGGTGCTGAGTTGTTTCGGTCTGATGCTCCCTCTAGTGGATGTTGTGGAGTATTGTGTTGTCTTCTCTCCAGAGGTTTTTGTACAGAGTTGTGGTGTTTCCTGTCACTGTGGGCCTCAGAGCACAGTAGTACACAGCAGAGTCAGTCAGTGCAGCAGAGGAGATCTGTAGATCAACACGATCCTTTTCTTCAGAGAGTCGTGTCCAAAACCTTTTCTCTGATTTCAGAGATTCTGCTGTTTTTGTGAAGTTCAACCCTGAGATGAACATGATGAACTCTGGTTGTTTTCCTGGATATTGTCGATACCAGAAGAAATAATCATTGCCATCAGCTTGTTTGGAGTAACTGTAGGACAGAGTGACGGTGCTGTCTTCCAAACTGTGCTCTTCAGTCTTAACTGGAGTGAGATCTTCACAGCTGACACCTAAAAAAGAATAAGTAAAATAAATTATTCAAAGTCACATGTCATTCAATCTTTTAATAAGTAAACATAAATCTACATCTAACATATTTAATGTTATAATGACAGCTGCTGTCCAAACTGAAATACTCTTTATTTTCAAAATCACAACACACTGTCCATTTATTACATACATACCTATGAGAACTGAGAAGAACAAAATAACAGTGAGTTGTTCCATGTTTGTAGAGGTGAGATGCTGTAACTGAATGTTCAGTATGATTCAGTTTTGTGAGTAGAGTTTGGTCTGATGTTCACAGCTGGAATCAAACAGTTCTCTGTCATCAAACAACTCTGCAGTCATTGGGAGGAGACTCATCTGTTGAACTAGTTTCATTTCTGAATTGAGAAACATCAAACCTTCATCATGACATACCATAGAAGTCTATCAGTGTGTGACTCCCTCTAGTGGATGTTGTGGAGTATTGTGTTGTCTTCTCTCCAGAGGTTTTTGTACAGAGTTGTGGTGTTTCCTGTCACTGTGGGCTGCAGAGCACAGTAGTACACAGCAGAGTCAGTCAGTGCAGCAGAGGAGATCTGTAGATGAAACTCATTAGATTGTTTGTCATGTCTTGTGGACAACTTCTCTGTTTTCTCTGAATATCCTCCTATAAGATGTTGTGGAGATGAACCTGATTTCTGCTGATACCAGCAGAGGTAGTTGGCAGAGCCTGAATAGTTGCAGGAGATAGTCACATCGTCTCCATCAACAGCCATCATTACTTCTCTGAATGGTGTCACTAATTCCTCAGAGGATCCTAAAGAGAAAGACATATATTTCACTGTGACTGTAGTTGTCTATCTGGACACACATGTTTCATGTCTTAGATCTTATTACGTCTTCTTAGTACTTACCAGTATGAAAGAATACTATCATCATCCAAACCAAAGGAAGCTGCATTGTTGTTCCTGTGATAAATGAACAGTAGAGAGAACACAGCAGCTCTTCTGTTCCAAAGTGACACTGTTCACATTCATTTGTGTAGCTCCTCCTCTTAACACTAACATCTCAAATGTAGTAACATAGGGGCATTCATGACTGGATTAAGATAAGATCTGTTCATCAATAACAACAAAAAAGAAACTAGACTAATTTATTTTAAATCAAAATAAACTTGCAAATAAAAAGGCCTGGCCTTGAACTCAACCCTGTGGTACACCACGAGAAATCACAGCCAAAGAAGAACGTGTTTATCAAAGACAGAACAAAAGAAACTCACTTCTAATTTTGTCGTTCCAACTGTTTATGATGGTACTTTATTCTAATGATTTGATCCAGATTAAATATGAAGACAAACCATCACATCATATTAACTTTTTGTATATTAAGAGCTTCATTTAAATCTATAGTTTGCAAACCAAATTTATGTTACATTCCAACAGTTCTGTATATGTGGAGAGCACCTATCAGAGAGGGTCTTAATCATCACTACAAAACAGTCAAGCCTACATCTCCATACCTACAATTGATATTTCACAGTCCGTGACTCCCTCTAGTGGATGTTGTGGAGTATTGTGTTGTCTTCTCTCCAGAGGTTTTTGTACAGAGTTGTGGTGTTTCCTGTCACTGTGGGCTGCAGAGCACAGTAGTACACAGCAGAGTCATTCAGTGCAACAGAAGAGATGTTCATGTTGATTTCTTTTTGCTCCACTGAAATCTTTAATCCTGATCTAAGTGCATTTCCTATCGTTCCTGAAGCGCTGTGACCAACAAGGAGCTGTGGTTGTTTTCCTGGATGTTGTCGATACCAGAAGAAATAATCATTAGTTAACAGTTCAGGGTAACTGTATGACAGAGTAACAGTGCTGCCTTCTAAACTGAACTCTTCATTTTTAACTGGAGTGAGCTCTTCATAGCTGGATTCTAAAAAGAAAGAGAAATTTCGCAAATAAAAAATCTATTGTTTTAATTCAACTTCTTTTAAAATGTAGATATATATTATTTCCCTAAACACCCACATTTTCCTTTGCATACATACCTATGAGAACTGATAAGAACAAAATAACAGTAAGTTGTTCCATGTTTGTAGAGGTGAGATGCTGTAACTGAATGTTCAGTATGATTCAGTTTTGTGAGTAGAGTTTGGTCTGATGTTCACAGCTGGAATCAAACAGTTCTCTGTCATCAAACACCTCTGCAGTCATTGGGAGGAGACTCATCTGTTGAACTAGTTTCATTTCTGAATTGAGAAACATCAAACCTTCATCATGACATACCATAGAAGTTTATCAGTGTGTGAGTCCCTCTAGTGGATGTTGTGGAGTATTGTGTTGTCTTCTCTCCAGAGGTTTTTGTACAGAGTTGTGGTGTTTCCTGTCACTGTGGGCTTCAGAGCACAGTAGTACACAGCAGAGTCAGTCAGTGCAGCAGAGGAGATCTCCAGATTTACTCGTTTCTCCATTTTGTTAATGTAAGCTGAGAAATCAGAATCTGTTGGATGAATCGATCCTCCCTCTGTGATGTAGAGCAGGAACTCTGGTCTGGATCTCTGGTTTTGTCTGTACCACTGGATGTTCTGGATTGACCATCATATGTACAGGTCAGGTTGATGTTTCCTCCCTCTTCAACTTTTTCTTCAGTTGTTTCTGGGTTTATGCTGTTCATGGAGCCCAGGGCTGCAAAATAAGTATTATACATGTCTGTTAGTCTGCAAGAGATTCAGACATCAAGAGACTGAAAATCAGTCCTCTACTTCATCAGTCATCTTTGATCATTTTGAGATTCATGAAGAAAACAAAAGTCTTTTTCTATCAGTGGAATTTGTAGCTCCCACAGATAAACATCTACTTTGAAATAGTTGTTCAGATATCTGGTCTAAACAGCAGGTGAAATTAGAGTTTGATGTGTGTTGTAACACTCACCTATAAAGTGAGAGCAAAGTAAAAAGAGGTAAAGCAGCATGTCTTTGGAGTTGTTGAAGACAAACAGACAGCAGATGAGTAATGTTCTTCTAAACTAAACAGCCTCTGTGCTGCACAGATGTTCTCCTCTACTTTGACTTTTCTGCTCTGGAGATACAGACAATCTCATTGGTTTGCCTCAGTGGGCGGGGCCAGAGGAACACCTTATTTAGAACTTGAACTTGTTTTTAACTGGAGGCCATTGTGAGTTCTCCCACATTTACAGAGGTGAGGTGCTGTAAAGGAAGAACTAGTATGAGTTGGTGCTGAGTTGTTCGGTCTGATGTTCCCTCTAGTGGATGTTATGGAGTATTGTGTTGTCTTCTCTCCAGAGGTTTTTGTACAGAGTTGTGGTGTTTCCTGTCACTGTGGGCTGCAGAGCACAGTAGTACACAGCAGAATCAGTCAGCTGAAGCTTCTGGATCTTCAAAGGAACTGATCTTAAAGTAGAATCCAGTGTGGATGAAAATCTCTCCTCAAACTCTTTCATTGTTTTCCCTTCTCCAATCTTAAAGCGGGTAAGTATGAATTTGGGGCTGTTGTTTCCATCCTGTTTGTACCAGTAGAGATACTCATTTGATAAACTGCTGTTGTATTGACAGCCAAGAGTTACTGCCTCTCCTTCAGTAGCAGTCACATCTCCTTCTGGTTGCAGCACGTTGTCTGTTTGTGCCATACATTCTGTAAAACAGTAACAAATAGTATTAGTGTGCTGTTAAAGAATCATGTCAGTGTTGGATTGATATCAAAGAAACTGAGTTCATACCAAGACACACAGCAGCCAGCAACACTGAGATAACCAGAGACATCATATCTGCAGTGTTAATAACTCTGAGTTACAGAGAGTATAAAGAAGGCTGTGATCTCTGTGTTTAGTCCACATCAACACTAAGTTAGAGGATTAGAAGGAGGAGCCTGATCACAGAGACAGGTCTCATTCACAGCCCTGTGTTATTCCCCGACTGACAACTTTACACTGAACATCTTTTACTGACACTCTGCTCGCTTTTAATGATCTGTCTTCTAAGTTTCCCTCCTGACCGATTCCAGTTTATAGTAAGTGACTCCCTCTAGTGGATGTTGTGGAGTATTGTGTTGTCTTCTCTCCAGAGGTTTTTGTACAGAGTTGTGGTGTTTCCTGTCACTGTGGGCCTCAGAGCACAGTAGTACACAGCAGAGTCAGTCAGTGCAGCAGAGGAGATCTCCAGATTTACTCGTTTCTCCGTTTTGTTAATGTAAGCTGAGAAATCAGAATCTGTTGGATGAATCGATCCTCCCTCTGTGATGTAGAGCAGGAACTCTGGTCTGGATCTCTGGTTTTGTCTGTACCACTGGATGTTGTTAATAACACCATCATATGTACAGGTCAGGTTGATGTTTCCTCCCTCTTCAACCTTTTCTTCAGTTGTTTCTGGGTTTATGCTGTTCATGGAGCCCAGGGCTGCAAAATAAGTATTATACATGTCTGTTAGTCTGCAAGAGATTCAGACATCAAGAGACTGAAAATCAGTCCTCTACTTCATCAGTCATCTTTGATCATTTTGAGATTCATGAAGAAAACAAAAGTCTTTTTCTATCAGTGGAATTTGTAGCTCCCACAGATAAACATCTACTTTGAAATAGTTGTTCAGATATCTGGTCTAAACAGCAGGTGAAATTAGAGTTTGATGTGTGTTGTAACACTCACCTATAAAGTGAGAGCAAAGTAAAAAGAGGTAAAGCAGCATGTCTTTGGAGTTGTTGAAGACAAACAGACAGCAGATGAGTAATGTTCTTCTAAACTAAACAGCCTCTGTGCTGCACAGATGTTCTCCTCTACTTTGACATGATTTTAATTTGACTTCCTCAAACTTTTCTGCTCTGGAGATACAGACAATCTCATTGGTTTGCCTCAGTGGGCGGGCCAGAGGAACACCTTATTTAGAACTTGAACTTGTTTTTAACTGGAGGCCATTGTGAGTTCTCCCACATTTACAGAGGTGAGGTGCTGTAAAGGAAGAACTAGTATGAGTTGGTGCTGAGTTGTTCGGTGTGATGTTCACAGCTTGATTAAAAGAGTTCTCAATCAATCTTTATTTGTGCAGCACCAATTCATAACAAATGTTATCTGAAGACACTTTACAAAAGAACAGGTTAAAGACCTTACTCATTGTTATATTACAAAGACCCAGTTCTCTGTCATAAGGCTCCTCTGCAGTCAGTAGGAGGAGACTCATATCAAATCATTTTCATTTCTGAAGAGTTGTATCACAACTGTATCATGAGGGAAAAGAATCTAGACTGTATCAACACATACAACTA